AGCATGATTAAGTCACTCATTCATTCACTCATTGGCAATTTATGACCTTCTGTTATGTACAAGGCCCTCTTCCTGGTAATGAAGGAGCAATGGTAATAATAATTTCATCACATACAATAACAACTTATCTTTACTGAGTGCTTCCCAAGGTCCAGGCTATATTGTAAGTGCTTTATATATAAACACTTAACTAATCCTTACCCCAGCTCTTTAAGGTAGATATTATCCTTATCTCCATTTTACAGATATTAGACTTCACTATTGTGTAAGGTCCCTGATCCACGAAGCTTACAGTTGGGACAGCATAAAGTATTGAAGAGATCCAACTGCTTCTGTTAAGAAAAACAGGCTCCACTGTTCATTGACGATGTGACGCTGGCTAACAACAGAAAATTAACTTTTTTGAGCCCCAGTTTTCCTATCCGTAAATTAGGGAGTTGTGAGGATTAAGTGACAAAAAAATCATTTAGTCTTTTTTTTAGCCAAATGTTGGCCACATAGTAGACACTTAGTGGTATTAAATAATAATAACAACAACAACAATGACAATAACAGTAACCAGGAGGGAAGGTGACCAATCCCAGTAACTGAAGGAAGAGGGAGGGCTTGATAAGGTCCGTACCATAGTACAGGTGAAGATCTTTGACCAGTTAGAGCTGGGTGTGGTTCCCGCAGGAGATGTGTCTGAGCCAGCCCTGGGGGCCCAGGAAACACTTTCACCCAGAGATGTGTGTGTTGAGGGGAGAGGTGATGGACAAGAAGAGCCACACAATCCCGCCCACCAGGAAAAGGCATTTTCTTAACTCTTAGCCACCTGTAGGAGCCTCCTTTCAGCTTAGGGCAGGGGAAGGGAGCATTCTCAGGAGAAAGGAAGGCCCCTCCTCACTCTTTGAAGAGCTGGAGAGGGAGGTGTGGGTGCTGTTCTGGGACAATCCGGGCCTGTCTTGGCCCCTGTCAGGAATGATGGGAATTCTGTATATTAACGAGGTTTGGGATCCATGCGGAAGCAGGATGGGACTCTCCCACACACCATTTTTCATGTCCTCAAGGCCCCACATGCCATTGATGAGGAAGATTGAGGGCAGGCTAGGATCTTTCCCTTCAGGCACTGATCTGAGATGGGGTGTGGGGAATGAAAGCATTCCACCTCAAGACAGGATTTGCAGACTCGGCAGTCACCCTGGAGGACTGGGAAAGGTGCAGTGGTCAGTCTGGTTGGTGACCAGGCCCAGGTCTGGCCCAGAACAAGGCTGACCACTTACCCAGACTAATGCCCACCACTCAGCCCAGCACAGAGCAGAGTCAGCCCTGATATCAGGAGGCAGGGAGGCAGCCCTCCCCACAGAATCCAGCCTCTTACAATCAGATTCTTGCCCTGGACAGGATATCCTGTATTTACCAAGTGGAAAGTGTAGGGAGGGGAGGTTAGGTGGGTGGCCTTCAGCAGCATGAACTACAACTCCCCCCATTTAAAAAAATTTCCTGCCCTGACTGGTTTGGCTCAGTGGATAGAGTGTCGGCCTGTGGCCTGAAAGGCCCCAGGTTCTATTCCAGTCAAGGGCATGTACATCCCCAGTGGGGGGTGTGCAGGAGGCAGCTGATCATTGTTTCTCTCTCATCGATGTTTCTAACTCTCTCTCCCTTCCTCTCTGTAAAAAAATCAATAAAATATATTTTTAAAAAATTTCCTCTTAGCACCCTCTCAAGAGTGGGATTATTTAGAAGTCATTGGAAAGGGTGGGGCCAGAGCTGAATCCAGGAAGAAGCCCTTTAAAGAGGATATGTTTGCATGTACAAATAAATCCAAGAGTTCTAGCTCTGGGGTTTAGGACTGGCAGGTCCAGCAAGAGAAAGGCTGCATGTGAGGGGCCTCTCTTGCGGGGGCCTGATTTGAAAAGAAACCCCTAAACAAATGACACGCACAGGCTCACTCCAAGTCTCTCAAAAAGTTGATCATTTGGAACTCTCCGGTGTCCAGGGTTGTGGCCAAGATTAATGATAAACAAAAAGGAGAATCAGACCGGCAGAGCTGGGCCAACCTGCTCCGGGTGCCACACCCCCCAACCCCAGTCCAAATAACCTCTGCCAGGGGTTCTGAGGGTCCTCCACAAGGAAGGCTGAGGCAGGCTCTGCCCGTTGGGACGTTGCCCAGGGCAGCCACGGGGGTCGTGACCCGATGTTTGAGTCACCGGAGGAGGAGGAGATATTGCAGTCTCGGGAGACAGAGTCCAAAACAAAGATCCCAATTCGAGGCCCAATCTCGAACTCCGTACCCTTATCTCCCCCCTCCCTGGCCCCCACCAAAATCAGATTGGCATCGTGGGGCCGGTGGAGGGGTGGTGGCAGGCTCCCTCTCTTCCAAATGATGGGCGTGCCTCGTCTCTGGCCCTGTTCTGGGCGGGGCCGCCTCACACCCCCACAGACCACGGGGCTGCATGTGACTGGGCCTCTGGCACAGCCCTGTGCCGCCGCCCAACCCTGACTGCACAGCTCCTCAAGCTCCCTTGAGGAACGAGGCACGGACTGGGGTCACAGACCACAATCACCCGGGGAGTGTTTGTTGGGCAGGGGTACTGGTGTGGTTTTCCCGGGGATTGCGGGATGGGGGGGGGGGGGGGGGGGGAGAAAAGGTCATTACGCGCATGCGCACGGGCGCCTTATTGTTTTCCCCCCACACACCCACCACCACCACCGCTGCTAATGGGCGGCGGCCACAATTAAAAAGGGTTGGGAAGGGGGGATAACTCCGTCTCACCCCACCCCCAGATATAAAGCCAGTTTTCCAGGCGCTTCTGAACCCAGTCCCCTTTCCTATCCTACGTCTTCCATGCCCGTCTGCCCAGATCCCTGCCAGTTTCCCCCGCCCGGCCACACCCCCGGAGCCCTCCCACTCCTGCCCAGCTACCTGCACAGCCCTGCCCTGGGCTGGTCCGCTTACCTTGCGGTCGTTGACTCCCTCGCCCACTGCGACCACGACTCCTGCGCCCTCCATGCCCGGAGTGAAGGGCAGCGGCGGCGACCGGTCGTAGAGCCCCTGCCGGGCCATAATCTCCGCGAAGTTCAGCCCACAGGCCCGGACGCGCACCGTCACTTGGCCGGGGCCGGGGGCCGGGGGAGCGGCCGGCTTGCTCTGCAGCTTCAGCTTGTCGTAGCCGCCGAAGCCCGTGAGCACCAGGCAGCGCAGCGGCGGCAGCGCAGCGGCGGCGGCCCCGTCGGAGGCCTCGGGTGGCTGGGCGTTGCCCATGGCTTCGGCGCTCGGGGGCTGCGAAGAGACGTCTTCTGCCGGCCCTGCCTCGGCCGCCGCCACCACGGTGGCCACCTCAGCTGCCTCTCTCTCCGCGGACATGGCTGGGACTCCCGACGTGCGCGCACAGCTGGGCTTAAGGGTGCACAGCTGGGGAGGGCGGGGCGCGCGTCAGGACGAGCCGCGGCTGTGGACCCGGAGAAGAAGGGGCGGGGCGCCGGCCCAGGGGCGGGGCCTCGCGCGCCCCCTTAAAGGGCCAAGGCCACTGTGCGGGTGCTGCGGGGCGCGAGAAAACTGGAGACTGGCACCTCTGCGGACAGACGGAGCGAGGGCAATTCTTGGGGTCATGCAGATCGCGATTTAATTTGTGTATTCATCATAAACCTTACGCAAGTTAAAATATTTGTTAAGGGGCAGTCTGAAGGACGATCTCAAAATCTGAGCTGACTTCAAAGTTGGAGAGCTAGCCACCTGTAGACCGGAACCCAACCAAGTTGTTCTTCAGACTCGGACTCTACCCTTATGTGACCCATTCCGAGTGGTCTATCAATGGCAAACGTGGAGCAGGGAGATAGAGTCTTAAAAACTTTCCACTTGCCGAAGCCGGTTTGGCTCAGTGGATAGAGCGTCGGCCTGCGGATTGGGGGGTCCCGGGTTCGGTTCCGGTCAAGGGCATGTACCTGGGTTGCGGGCACATCCCCGGTGGGGGATGTGCAGGAGGCAGCTGATCGATGTTTCTCTCTCATCGATGTTTCTGGCTCTCTCTATCTCTCTCCCTTCCTCTCTGTGAAAAATCAATAAAATATATTTAAAAAAAAAACAAAAAAACTTTCCACTTGATTTTGTTTATTAAAGCTCTGTGCTTCAATTTTCCCTTCTGTAAAACGGTAAGATACTGCTTGATACGGGGTAACGATAAAATTAGAGTATCCTCGATGTGAAGAGCGCTTTTCAAAAGTAAAAGATGTCATACAAAGGCCAAACAGAAGCTCGATTATTGTTAGATTCCGGGTCAAGCCTGAAATGACTTTAGAGTTTGTCTCTGGCTCCAGCTGGGCTGTCACTCCGGGCAATTTGATCTGCCTCTTCTTCGCTCCCCTTCTGTCTCCTCGAAGTATCCACCAGAGGACGCAGCTCCCCCAAAACTTTTCAGCCTGCGCTTGGCTGAAGAAACTCATTGTTGCTTCTCACCTAGACCAGGCCAGCCGTTAGGTCACCATAGCCCCAGACTAGGCCTCCCGTTGCCATGGGGACAGAAAGCCATGACGTCACCATTTTCCTGGTGGGGGTGATGGAGTCCATACCCTCCTAACCCCAAGACACTCTGCATATAGGAGGCAGACCGAACCCTAAAGTCTCCTTTCTTCCCCACCATCTCTCGCCTCCCGTTCAGGAAGTGGATGGTTGTCCCCGCGCGTGTCCGCAGTAGCACACCGGCGTGCACGCGTGGGCACGCAAAAGGCCCGAGCCTCGTGCGTGTGCTGATCCCACCCAAGGCCCGCCCGCCCCAGCCCCAAGAAAGTCAAACCAGCCAAAAAGCCCGGATCGGCCCGCCCCACACAGCGCGCTAGAACTCAGCTCTCTCGCCAGGATTCCCGGGGTCCCGCCTAGCTCCCCGGGCCCCGCCTCCCGGCTGCGCGGGCGGGAGGCAGGAGGCGGGGCCGGGGGCGCGGCCGCCGGGCTGGGGGCGGGGCAGAGGGGGGGCCGCGGCCCCGGGTGGGGGCTCGGCGCGGGCCCGCGAGATGCCGGTGTCGGCGGCCCGAGCGGCTGCAGCTGCAGCGGCGGGGGAGGCGGCAGCGGGGCCCGGGAGGGGGGCTCCGCGGGGGGCCGGCGTGTAGCCGGGACCATGGAGGGGCAGAGCGGCCGCTGCAAGATCGTGGTGGTGGGGGACGCGGAGTGCGGCAAGACGGCGCTGCTGCAGGTGTTCGCCAAGGACGCCTACCCCGGGGTGAGGGGCCGGTGTCTTGGGAGGGGGGAGCTGAGGTCGTGGGGGTGGGTGACTGGAGCCCGAGGGACGGGCAGAAATGGGTACTGGGGTTACCAGGGACGAGAGAGAGGCATGGAGGACGGTGGCGGGGGGGCGGGCGGTTGTTGGGAGCCCTGGAAGGACTGCAGAGGATTGGGGTGGGAGGAACTGGGGATCAGGGTGAGATGATTGGGGTTGGGGGGAAGCAGAGGATCTCGGGAGGGGTGCTAGGGGATGGCGGGGGTCCTGGACGTCGGAGAGAGGAGGAACTGGGGGCTGCAAGGGCTGGGAGGGGGTCTGGACGCCTAGCAGAGATCCCCTGAGGCAGTCGCTCTCAGGATCTCCCCTTTGCCCCACACCAAACCAACTTGTGTCCAGGGGCTGGGCTGGACAGGGTGTGGGAGTAAGGAGGGCATCTGTCTGGAGTGAGGACTGGAGGATCACATCTTGACCCATCCGTGTCTGCAGAGTTATGTCCCCACCGTGTTTGAGAACTACACCGCCAGCTTTGAGATAGACAAGCGCCGCATTGAGCTCAACATGTGGGACACTTCAGGTAGCCAACTCCCTGGGGTCACCCTGACTTCCAAGGCCCCCATCCGGACCCCTCCCTCGGCTAGACCTTTAGGCTTCAGCTCAGCCCATCCACCTAATTCTAGGAGGAAGGAAAATCAACCTTCTGCTTAAAGCCAGAGAAACTGAGGCAGAGCTTGCAGACATACATAGAAACCATGCCCTGAAGGAAAAAAGACCAGTATCCAATCCCCTCCGCTGGCTTCTGCCTCTCTGGGAAAGTTGAGAAGCAATGTTTGTTATTTGGGAACATGTTTTTTTAGGAGATTGTACTGGATTTAGGAAAGACATTTAGAATTTCTTTGGGTATGGGAACGACTTCTCTAGACCGAGCTATGGAAATCTGAGATCAAGTCCCAAGAGGATGGGAGAGCTCTCTCCCTTCTCCAAAAAGGAGGAGGGTTTTATTTTTACTCTGGTCCCCTGGAGGTCATTAGAAGATGTCTGTCAGAGCCCAGAAAGCACACGCGAAATTTTGTGAGAATGTGGAGAGATTTCGTGAGCTTCTCAGACTCTGAAACGATTAAGGATGCTTACTTTTAGAGAAACCCCTGGGGAAGTGGAGAGCTGTTTTCTGCCATCTAGCCCCCCCTCTGCCTGTCCCCGCCTCGGAGAAACCCAGGCTCCTAGATGGCTGTTATTAACTGCTCTTTCCTGCCCCCGATCCTAGCATCAGGTCTCCCATTCCCTTCCAGGCCTTCCGCCCACTCAGGACCCTTGTCTGCCCTCTCCCCTCTGTCTTCCCTCAGGTTCCTCTTACTATGATAATGTCCGGCCCCTCGCCTATCCTGATTCGGACGCTGTGCTCATCTGCTTCGACATCAGCCGCCCAGAAACCCTGGACAGTGTCCTCAAGAAGGTGAGAGCCTGGGGAAGCAGGAAGTTAGACTGAGGGGGACCAGAAACCACGGTTCTGATACAACATGAGCCCTCAACTGGAGAGTGTGTGAAGCTCTCATGCCCCGCCCCCGCCCCTCCCCCCTCCTTTCCTAGAAATCAATCCTCAGAGCTGGACAGGACATCTGGGGGTGCTAGGGGAGAGCAGGGAGAGGTACTCAAGAGATTCCGTAGCCACCCTCCCCGTCTCCTTGGGCGTGGGAACCCCAGATGGACTGGATGGGAATGCTGCTCTCGGAGCTCAGGGAAGTGCTGTGGTCTCCTCTCCAGGCCCCTATTTCCATGAGAAAAGCCTATGGTGAAAGGCCAGAAGTCAGCTAAGGCAGCCCTAGTTCCCAGGTGGGGGAGGGGAGGGGAGGGCGGGATTGGTCTGTTCCCAGACACAGACTTAGGATAGGGGGTCAGAATGGGGAGGCTCCAGGCTGGCAGAAGCTTCAGACGCAGGGCACAGACCCTACAGCCCCACCTCAGCTCTCTCCTCCCTCCCCTTCTCCCACACCCCATCCCTGCTTTCAGCCCAAGCCCACCATTCCCACCTCCTTGTTCACACAGGAGCGTCCAGAGGGGTGTCGGTTTCTGATGCTGTGATAAAGGGGGGGCGGGGGCTCCTGGAGTGGAGCACGGTTCCCAAGTGCCTTCTTCTACCCCATCCACAACTCTATTTTCTCTTCCCAAATAGTGGCAAGGGGAGACACAGGAGTTTTGCCCCAATGCCAAGGTTGTGCTGGTTGGCTGTAAACTGGACATGCGGACCGACCTGGCCACACTGAGGGAGCTGTCCAAGCAGAGGCTGATCCCTGTTACACATGAGCAGGTGGGACTCTTGAAAACACCCTATTTTGTTCATCCCTTGTCCTGGCCTCTAACCTCCGGCCTGATCTCTTGACCTCCTCCCCTCCCCCAGCCCCCTGCCTCCCTGCCCCTTGCTGAAATGCATAACTTCCTTCATGCACTCCATCCTTGCAGGGCACTGTGCTGGCCAAGCAGGTGGGGGCCGTGTCCTACGTGGAGTGCTCCTCCCGGTCCTCTGAGCGCAGCGTCAGGGATGTCTTCCACGTGGCCACAGTGGCCTCCCTCGGCCGCGGCCATAGGCAGTTGCGCCGGACTGACTCACGCCGGGGACTGCAGCGATCCACTCAGCTGGCAGGAAGGCCCGACCGGGGAAATGGGAACGAAGGCGAGATACACAAGGATCGAGCCAAGAGTTGCAACCTCATGTGAGGAGCCGGGGAGGGGCAGAGCATCAGGAGGGGTGGTGAAGGGCACAATTGTTCCCCTGCCTGCACCCTGGCTTCCTGACCCCCTGACTGGCTAGAACTTCAGGGCAGGTTGAGTGAGCAATTCTCCTGGGCAAGGGACCTGGAGGCAGAGGGTACCATCATTCCCCACACTCTCACCCCCCTCCTCTCCATAGGAAGCTGCGGGAGCTAGCAGAGCAGGCATCTGGCTCGGGAGTGGGGACGGGGCAGGGGGTTTAGGGAAGCTGGCGTCCAGCGGTGACCTTGGTTGGGTCTCAGTATATGAAGAGTGCCTTCCCTCCCTGCCCCCAGGCCCCATATCCTGGTCCTGGCTTCCTTCCCTAAGGAAAGTGTCCATTCCATGAACTTCCCTTTTCCTCTCCTCTCACTTCTACAGCTGTGCTCACTCACCCTAACCTCCAGGCAACATGCACTAAATTAAAAAGCAAGTTAAGAAGCCCTTCCCCCCCCATACCCACCCGTCCTAGCTCCTCCCTCGCTTCCCCAACCATCCTCAAATAAAGCCCATGTCCATGGAAAACGGCTGTGGCTTTAGTTTTGTGGCTCTCTAAATACCAGTCTACCAATCTCCAGTAGCAGGAGCGAAAGTTAGACTTCAGGAAGAAGCAGAGGAAGTCATGGGCTGGATGGGCAGTGTCCTTTTAGGAGCCAGAGGTGGGGAAGTGAGGTATCTTGGGAATATCCATCTCAGTTAATGAGCCAAACAATCCTGAAGCCATTAGGGGGTTTTAACGTGGACTGATGTGCAATTCATTACTCAACCCCGCTGGGGCCCCCTGCTTGAGTGGGAGGGGTCCAGCTGAAGTGGTCCAGGCCCTTTGCTCACCATCTCCATACACCCCCACCTTGGAATCCGCTGGTGCCCTAGGGGTTGTGGGGGTAGGGAGAGCACCAAAAGCCCCCGCATCGCAGAAGCTGACCCTGGACAGAGGGACGTTTCCCAAGGGGACAGAGGTTTGATTCTGGAGTCTCCTCGGAGGCGGGCAGGGGTTCTCACCCTCTCCATCCTGAGCTTTGGATGATTTTGGGGGGAGCCTCAGCTGAGTTTAGGGTCACCCCCTCCCAACCCCCTATTGAAGGAAAGCTGGTGGAGGGGCTGGCTGCAGCACTTGTTGTCAGGAAAGACAGTGCTGGTCTGTTTTCTCGGGAGTCTGGTTTCACATTGTCCTGTATTCCCTCCCTGGCTCTGGTCCCACTGGCCTCTTTTCGGTGACATTCTCCCCCAGGAACCATCCCTGGCCCTCCCCTCCCCCAGCCCCAGACAGTTCTTCCAGACACACTCAGGGGGAGAACACAGACCTTACCCTCCCATCTGGACCCCCCACCCCCAAATCACGGCCCATCCCTCCCGCATTCATTCAGCAAATATGTACTGAGCACCAACTGTGTGCCAGACACAGGCTTGGGAGACCGAAGGGACCAGCCTCTCTGCTCTGGGGACCAGCCCATGAGGAAAAAGAGGGACCCCAGGTGTGACAGTGCCTTGGCTGTGGGAGCTCCTTACAGCCTCGGGAGCCAGTCCCCTGAGCCAGGTCCTGAGGGTTGAAGGGGAGTTTTCCAGGCAGGAAAGGGGTAGGAGAAGTGCTCTGGACAGAGGGTAGAGCAAGTGCAGGCATATGGCGATGAGAACAACATGGCACAGTCGGGGCTGCCATGGTGGGAAGGGCAGAAGACAGGCTGGGAAGGTACATTAAGGCCACTGCAGGGTCCACAAGGGAACCAGGACTTCCTTCTGAGGATGTGAGGAGGCACTAGGGACTTCAAGCACAGAATGAAGTGACCAGATTTGGGTTTGGGGGTAGATGGGTCATCTGGATGTGGTGATGGAGGCTGGGGGTTTGGCTCTGAGATGGATCATTTAAAATAGCTTCTCCTTTCCCTATGCCAGGGCCCAGCCTTGAGTGGAAAAGAAATCCCCACCCACTCCTGGCTCATCAGACACCTCTTTCCCTCCCTCTCCTAAGGACCCTGTCCTGACCCATCTCAGCCAATCAGACACCTCTTTCCCTCCCTCTCCTAAGGACCCTGTCCTGGCCCATCTCAGCCAATCAGACACCTCTTTCCCTCCCTCTCCTAAGGACCCTGTCCTAGCCCATCTCGGCCAATCTCCTTCAGGATTCTGGGACAGCTTAAGGGCATAGGATACCCCACCCTCTGAAACCGTGACCTGGTTAGAGGCTGACTCTGAGACCCTCCTCAAGGACCCTGAGACCTGGGTTAAGGGTTCTGGGAAAGGCCCATCTCTCAGCCTGGTCCCAGAGGACTGACTATTCCCCCACAGGGAACCGCCATACCATCAATTTAGGATTTGGGGCCTCGAGGCTTCCCTTTTCACTTTGGACTTTGGTACCAAGCAGGCTCAAGCCTGTGGCTGCCAAAGTGGAGTATTTGTGTCCCTCTCTTCTCCCAACCTCCCGCTCCTGCCACGCTGGCGCTTGGGGAGTGCACACGCATTTCAATATCCGCCTAAAGCAAACATAATTAGGAAAATAAATCAGCTGGAGGAGCCCCCAAAGTTTAATACATTTCCAATGCCACTGGCAACAGATTTTGGTCCCCTCTGCAGGTCTGGGTTGGCAGACGTTTTATTTCCGGGGAGGGGCTGCACCTCTGGACTAAGGAGCCCAATAGGTCCGGGGGGGGGGGGGGGGGGAAATGGGGCTGTTGTTGATCCTCAAAGGCCCCTGCAGGCTGGAGGGAGGGAACCTAACCCCCACCCCCACCCCCCATCCCAGTTGCAGGAGTCAGACTCAGCTTCCATCTCTGCAGCTGTTTCCCCCACAAATTAGACACCCCTTTGGGAAACAATGTAGCCTCGTTAATCATTTAATGAAATAAACAACTAATCACTGTAATGCTTCCAGTGTTTCTTAACCTCAGCAATCAGCCTGCCCAGGAGGGAGGAGGGGAAAGGAAGGGCAGGGGCAGGGGCAGGGGCTTGGTCTAACCCCTGAAATGCTTCACCTGACAGAGGGTCATCTCCTTGTGACTGCAGCCTTCCCAGCAGGGACAGTCATGTAAAGAGCTTAAGATTGGAGGCAGAGGTTCAAGGGCCTGGGTCCCAGCTCTTCCCCTTCCTCCCTAGGGAGCCTTTGGTAAGGCCCTGCACCTGTCTGAACCTCAGTTTTCACACCTGGAAAAGGGGAGCTGGTCACCACATCTACCCCATGTTGTTGAGGAAGATTCAGAGAAAGGATGTAGAAAAGCTGTTTGACCCTTTAAAGAAGGCTGAGCTATGTCGACCTTTATTCTTCTTCTTCTTTATTTATTTTTATTTTTGTTAATCCTCACCCGAAGATATTTTTCCATTGATTTTTGCAGAGAGTGGAAGAGAGAGGGAGAGACAGAGAGAAATATCGATGTGAGAGAAATACATCGATTGGTTGCTGTCTGCACAGACCCCGGCCAGGGCCCAGGCTGGGGAGGAGCCTGCAACCAAGGTACATGCCCTTGACTAGAATAGAACCCGGCACCCTTCAGTCTGCAGGCCGATGCTCTATCCACTGAGCCAAACCGGTTAGGGCTCAACCTTTATTCTTTACAACGTAGTCGCCTGGTGCTTCTGAGCTGGGCCTGAGGGAATCGAGAATGGCTTCTTAGAAGGGGTCTCCTGTGCTAGGAATTCAAAGGCTGGAGGAAGGGGAGGTGGCTGTGTCTTGCTCTCACACGTATCCCAAGGACTAGAGCAGTGGTTCCCAACCTTCCTAATGCCGCGACCCTTTAATACAGTTCCTCATGTTGTGGTGACCCCCAATTTCATTGTTACAGATTGAACATAATTAAAGCATAGTGATTAATCACAAAACAATATGTAATTATATATGTGTTTTCCGATGGTCTTAGGCAACCCCTGTGAAAGGGTCGTCCCACCCCAAAGGGGTCGCGACCCACAGGTTGAGAACCGCTGGACTAGAGAGACCCTACAATGACTCTGAAGGCTGAGGTCTTTTGGTCTTCATTTTTCTAAACTCTCCCCATTACCTATTCTGAAGTGTCTGGGTGAGGACTCCAGGTTACCATGGTGACCCCACCCCAGATACACTCAGATTGGTCCTGCAGGCTGAGGGAGGTAGGAGGAAGAGGTCATGGCTGAGGTTGCCAGTGGACACCAGCAATCCTGGCACAGCTCTCTCCACCGACTCCACACTCTCTTCCCCAGGAAAGGGGTTCAGCTCTTCTGTGGCATCCCCCCTGCCTCTCTCCTAACAAAAGATTTTCTTCCACACACTGCAGCCCCTCTCCCGCCTTCCCCCTGCTGGGTTCCCAGGTCTCTCTCCATCTCTCTAGTCAATCCCCTACTCCTTCTCCTGAAGGTTGGGGGTGAGAGTCCAAGAGGGGGAGGCTCCTGGTCCAGGCGGTGGGGTGATTCCCAAGCAGCTACCTCCCAGGAGCCAGAGAGACAAGAGGGACATGAACATAAGTGCTCCTCCCCCCAAGAAAATGCCTCTGCTGTTGACTCCTAAATAACAGATGTCTGTCTGCATATTAATGAGATTGGACGAATAATTGGTGAGTTTTTCATTCAGTGTCAGAATGAACCCGGAGGCCTTATGTTCATGTACATAGACACCCACTCACCCCCGGCTCTCCCTTTCCCCCAGAGCACAATGAGGCAGACGCAGATGCTGGCAAGCTTGACCCACAGAGGGGAGGGGCAGACAGGGAACGGGGAGGGGGTGTCAGCAGGAGGGAGACCTCGAGGTCTGGGTTTGTCAGGTTTCTCCCACTAGATTGCCATCTCCCCAGCCCCCCAGGGGCATAAGCTTGCATTTGTGAGATTTCCCCACTCTGCAGAAGGGGCCCAGAGGAAGGTGGGAACCAGAGGGTAAAGAGGGTGGGGGTTGGGGGGGGGACGGGACGCAGGCACTACTTAGGGGACAAGCAACAAAGCAGTGGCTTCCTTCAGAGAGGTTGTGCCTCCCCTGAGCCTGGCACCTGCAGGCCTCTTACCCTGCTTCTTCTCCTGTGCCAGGGTGTGAGGTGGAAAACAGAGGTTTTGGAATCAGACAGCTACCACTTGCCAACAGGGTGCTCTAGTGCAAGTTACCCAACCTCTCGGAGCCTCTCACTGTCCTTGTCTCTGAGAATACCTACCTACCTTAAACGATGGGAAGGACGAAATGAGACAGTGTCACATGTCTGACCTAGCGCTTGGTGTATAGTGGGTCACAACACATACTTGTCCTCTCCCTGCCTATCCCCCCAAACACACCAACACCGTTTCAGAATGGCTGCCCCTCCTGCCAGACCCACCCTGGTTAGGGCAGAGGTTCGTTAGAAGTTCAGTAGTTACCCTGGCTTCCTGGAAACGGAGGAAATGCTAGAGGGGCAGGAACAGAGAAAGAAGCGATTCGATGGCCACAGGAGAGAAAACTGGTAGGAACCAAGGCCTGGAGTGGAAGGAAAGAAACCACAGAAAGAACCCCGAGCCAGCTGGACGGGGGAGGTATTGCAGCCAAATGGAGTGCAGCCCGGAACGAGGAGGCCCAGGTGAGCCAGGAACTCGCCTTGGACCTTAGCAAGTCTCACCCCCTTTTAGCATCTTAGCCTCCTCGTCTGTAAAAGGATGGGGTTGGTTTGCTCTCTGAGGTCCCTTCTCCTTGTGTGAGAGTCTCAGTGGCCTGGGGAGCACAGGGGAGGGAAGGTGGGCTTGCCACCTCCCCGCTACGGCCCATCACTCTTGGGCTGTCTCTTCTTCCCCCTGGTAAATGGATCTGCTGCGCCAGCAAACAACTGTCCATTGTGTCCTAATGAGGGACGAGCAGGGAAAACCAATCACTTATGATGCAAATGAGCGGCGGCTGCAGCCTCCTCGCTTTCACTGAATAACTCTCCTCTGCCCAGACCCCAGCGCTGCCCCAGTTGGGCTTTTCTGCCCAGCCCGGTTCCCATCTGGTCCTGGAGGGAGACGGGGAGGCCCTTCCCATTGTCACTCATTGCCACTCCCTGCAAGGAGTCAACCCTCCCAGCCTTCAGAGGCCCAGCTTCTCTCCGGTCTCAGGGCAGCTCAGTTGTTTTCAGTTGAGGTGAAATTCACAGAACATATGATTAGCCACTTTAAGGTGTACAATTCTGTGACATCTCATGCGTTCACAGGGTGGTGTAACAACAGCACCTACCTCTCTGGGGTGTCCTGCCCTCTGCCCATCTAGGCAGCCCGTAGCCTCCTGGCAGTGGTACAAGGAAGCTGCTGAGGCCTCAGCCAAGGGTCAAGGAATAATGGAGGCTGGTGTTGGATAACAGCTGAGAAAAGTCCAGAGCTGGTAGAGTGGGGTGAAGGGGACGAGCCCTGAACTTTAGGATGGAAGCTTAGTGATTATCCTGGCTTCCTCATATTGTGCTTGGAGTAAATCGGCAGCCAGGGGAGAAGGCTAGGGCTTCGGTGGGAAGGGGAAAAGACCATCACTGCCTTCTCCAGTACAGCCCTGGGGCCATGTCTTTAGAAAATGGCTTCTTGGAATCCTATGGAGATTTAAAAATTACTATTATTTCTCTGGCATTGGGTTAGAAACCAGATCTTGCTTGCCATGACTTTCAGAGGCTCTGTGGGCTTGGGGATGGTCGCACTTTGGCAGCTGTGGAGGGCCCCCAAACAACCCTCAAAGCCCCTTGCCTCCAGGAGAGCCCTTCCCTCACCCGGCCCCAGGGACAGGTCTTACCAGGGAAGATTGTCTACCTGCTTGGCAGCAGTTTATTCCAGAGTCCAAACAGCTGGGAAGACCCATATAAGTTGTATTTTTAGTTTCTCTTGTTAATATACAGTACCATTTGGTTCTGTGTTGTCATCAAGAGAAGATGGCGAACATCTGCCTACCTGTGTGTCTATTACCTGCAGATCCACCTTCTCCCCCCCTTCTCTAATCTAGGACATGTGGTAACGTTTTTAAAAAACTCTTCGGGAATTAACCAGTGCCAACTGCTGCAGCATTGCAGAGAGAACACTTTACAGGGTCACAAACTTTCTTTTATCTTCTCCAGCCCCGGCTCCTGCTCCACTGGAGTCCACACTCCCTTCTCTCCCAGACAAAACACAGTCCAGACAAAATAATGAGGGTGTTTCCATCTGTGGCCTAATGAATAGGGACTCCTCGGCTGGTTAGCTCCAGGTCTGCCACCAATTCACTGGGTGACCTTTGGCAAGGCCCTGGCCCTTCGTTTCATCACCCATAAAGCGGGGATAACCATCTTGACTGTAGCCATCTCCCAGGGAACAAGTGAGGGGAGAGAAATAATGGTTGTGCCAGTGCTTTGAACTTGCAAAGAGATGATCATGAACATAATTGTTCTGTAGTGATGGCGGCAGCAGTGTACCTGTCTTGAGTAACCAGCCTGGAGGTGGCCTGGCTGGAGGACACATGGATAGGGGAAACGGATGGTCTCAGTCAGGGTGTTGTTTTGATTAATCACAAAGGGGTGGGCTTCATGTAGGCAAAAGAGAATCCGGGAGGAAATCCGTAGGTGTGGGGTGAGAAGAGGAAGAGTGAATTTTGGACATTTAGATCCCTCATATTGTGTTTGGAGTAAATTGGGGTCCTAGAAAAATGAGTGGGGGAGATGAAAGGGCATTAGTACTCCCAGTGGCAGAATGTGGATAGGTTACCAGGGACCAAAGTTCTTGAGGGTGGGGCCAATGGTTGGATAAACCATTCACTCAG